TAAAACACTATATAACTACACAAAAAAATTCATAACTATACGGAAAAATTCATAACTACAATCCCAAACTTATCCTCAAATAGGTTTCCATACTAATATTTCTAAATACGAAACATGAATAATTCTATTATCATACCCTTAATTATTAATGTCATAATTTTATTACCATACCCTTAATTATTAATGCCATATATTTTTATTTTAATTAATTATTATATCTTTTAATTTATTAAAAACTAATATGTATAATTTTTTTTGCACCGAGCCTTTCGGACCAAGTGACAATAGTCACCCATGGTACATTTCCCCTTGGAGAAGGCTGGGGTTCGAACCCAACCCTTTGTAAAATCAGTTAAAAAAAAAAATATATGTATAAATTTTTTTAAAAAAATAATTCAAAAATATAATAAATAACTATATTAAAAATATATAATATTAATTATTTAAACCGTGACAATAACCTGTTAAGGTGAAAAAAATGGTCTGATTTGTATGGCAGTAACTAAGGCTGTTCTTTTCTTAGGTACTCTGTATTTTTGTCAGATCCTGTTTTTAAAGGAGTTTTCCTTCTCTTCCTCGGCAAGGTAAATCAGATTTCCTTACCCTTTTTTGCTCAAAGGAAAGAACTTTTGGGTAGTTGCCTAGTTGGGTTTCAGGAAAATTTTTGGGTTTCTGACACTGTATAATCCTCTGGATAGAAGCGGGCAGGATAAAGATATTTAACATTTGGATTCGTTTTTCTGTAGGACAATTATGGCAATGCAAATCTTGGAATTGTAAGTAATTAGTATAAATATTGGGTAGCTGAAATTGTAACTTCGAGGCTCTGGTTCGGGTTCAGGAGGCTCAAGCACGGAAAAGGCTGTAACAGTCGCCAAAAATTGCTCCCAATTCTCTGCTCTTAAAGGTAAAACGACACAAGCGTTCACTCTATCTCTCGCTTTGTCATCCATAAGCGTTAAAGAATCAAACTAGTTTCCGGGTAGTCATCCATTTGTCAAGAAAGTGTCTCTGTTTTCTTTCTTTTTCGTTATAAATCCCCACTAGTATGCTGCTTCCCCGGACAGGTTGAACATGGTTAAAGAGTTAAGGTTCTTATCCAAAAATATCTTGGGAATTGGGTTTTGTTTGGTTTTAGTTCATGGGTTTGGTTTGACTTTGTGTTGTTTATTGTTTGTAGATCTGTGGAGAAGTGAAGCAATGAGGCAAGGAGAGGAAGAGATGGTTTCCAGCTTCAATGAGATTGGGAATGAAGGTAAAGAAGAAGAGACGAGAGATGAATCCAAGTTCAACATCAAGAGCCTTCTCTGGCATGGTGGCTCTGTATGGGATGCCTGGTTCAGCTGTGCTTCAAATCAGGTACTCCAAAAAACCCAAAAGGCCATATCAAATTATAAGCTGAGTAATGTGTTGTTCACTGGTTTTGCCTACTTTGGTTTACAGGTGGCTCAAGTTCTGTTGACCCTTCCATATTCGTTCTCTCAAATGGGAATGGCATCAGGGGTCGTTCTGCAGTTCTTTTATGGTCTTCTTGGAAGCTGGACTGCATATCTCATAAGTTGCCTCTATGTTGAATACAGAACCAGGAAGGAGAAAGAGAATGTCAGCTTCAAGAACCATGTCATCCAGGTTCGTCTCTCAATATCACTCATCTTAAAAACCCAGTAAAAACTAAAATAAAAATTTACCCATTATATGATATATAATTCTAAAAATTATAAAATGAATCACTTTTTC